CCCTTTTTTTTTTTGGTCCTAGAGTTTTCCTTATGTTCATGTGCCTGCTGTAACATATTTCAGGAAACTAAAAATTTTGTGTACTTTAATACTTCAAGTTTGGGGTTTTTTTACCACTTGAAGTGTTAAATGTATAAAACAAGAACATACTTCTGAGAGCAACAAAGATAAAAGCTTATCAGATTTGTGTAGCCTTTCTTCAAGACACTTACAGTCCCTCATACTACAGAATTCTGGGGGAAAATAGCATAAAAGGAGAAGAAATGTTTTTAAAACTCAAAACATAAGCCTACTGCCAAGAGACGTGTAAATAGATTCTCTTGAATGTTATTTGACACAAATGCATTGTGAAGGGGGAAGCATTTCTTTTTATGCTTGTTGTTTGCGACACGAGGATTTTCCTGAATCGAAAGTTATACGTTGCAATGAGTTGTGGTCTTTTGGAAAATAGTTCATGTTTTCTCATCTTGTATAACGTGCAAATAAGGTTCTACAGGCATCTGGTAGTTTGAGGCTTTTGGATGTCTGTTGTGTTGCTCAGCTGTATTTTGAAACTTGGTCCTTTTGTCCGTTCTGTATCTCTCCTTGTGTATTACTGCCTTTACCAAACGCCATTTCCTAGTGACTCTGTTCATGCCGGTCTTTGAAGTCACGTTTTGCAAGCCATTAGGGCTCTTGAAAGCAATAGAGTGAAATAACAACCCTTGGGTGAAAATGTGGGAAGGCAGAATCGGTCATTGTGTACGTATATAAATGTGTGTAGTGTGCAAGCTCAAAATGGGGCCAGTGGCATTTTAGATGACTATAAAGACCTTTAAGTTGACCATTCTCTTAATCTTCCTGTATTTGGTTTCTACAGGGAGCAATAGAAAGAGTGAAGGAAAGTGATAAATTAGTTGCAACCAGTAAAATAACGCCACAAGACAAACAGAACATGGTGAAACGTGTCAGCACCATGGCTTATGCACTACAAGGTAAACCAAATTTTGGGCTAAATGGCAACATTGTAGACCTCGGAACGACATCTCTTAAGTAACAAATTTTGAAAGAGAATCTTTGTTCTACCAGAGATGATACTAAGGGCTGGGCGTGGGGCAGTGTTGTTGTTGTTGGGTTTTGTGACCTGCTTAGATTTTCCTAAAACTGCAGTTAAGTTTGCCCATTGTTTTCTTTCAAATCTTCATATTGCTATTGCAAAAGATAGCTGTTTTGGAAATGCAATTTTAAAAAAACAAACTCAAAACAGCCACCCCAGACTGATTCTTTCATTTTGAAATGATAATGTCTCAAAGGAAAAGCATGAGCCCTGGTGCAGGAAGCAGTTCCTCAAGTGCAGAAGTGTTTTTCTGATTCATGGTTGAGTCAGACATGATCCAGTTGAGATTCATGTCCTTGTGGGTAAGACTTTATTTTCTGGGTGTTCTTTGAATGAACTTTTTCCTCTTTAGGTCAGAGATGTTGTAAATATGAGACATAGCACGCCGCACTTGAAAAAAACGGGGAAGTGAGGAGTCAGTCCTGCAGGGTATCGAGCCCTTAAGTGCATCCTGTTAACTGAGGGCAGTGGGACTACTCATTGCTGAGGGAGTTGCAGCTTTTTGGCTGACTTAAAGCCACCGGTACTCAGTATTTTACAGGACAAAGTCAGAGCAGCACACAAAATTGATTTTAAAAACAAACAAGAAAACTCCCCACCCCCTCCTTCATGGCCACCGTGATGCAAGAGGACTGTGCTGTGTAAGTGGTCATCGTGGAAGAGACCTCTAGGATGACTTTTGCAATCTAGAATATTTCTTCTCCCTCTATTGGTATCTCAGAATATATTTAACTTTTTGTTTCAGCTGTAAGTTGTAATCTGACAAAGAGATGCAGAAAGTGGTGAAAGGTGTTCTGGATCCAGTAATGCTGTTTCTCAGGTTTCTGCTGAAACACTCTATCAAGAATGGGGTCAAACATTACTGGCTGTATCTTTTTTTTTTTTAGCTAAATATTTACAGCTGTGGCTTACAACTTGATACCTATACCCTTGGAAATCTGAATGTCCTAGCCAAATTCTGTTGGAAACACTTCAGGAAAGAGCAGTTACCTCAGTAGGAGAAAATCCTGCTTGTATTCTTTATCAAATCTTTCTAAGAAGAACCTGGCTTTATCCAGGAAGGGTCTGTATTTTAGCAGCGAGTAACTGACACCCTACCAATTTTACAGACAGCTCCATCATCACTTGAGTGCTGCAGGCAAAAGGGGCTGGGGAAGCCGTGAGCACAGTAACGGTGCTGGCAGGGCTGGACAGGGAGCTGGCTGCACAGTAACTAACCCAAACTCAGTGAAACTGTACCTAATTACCAATGCTTCTCTGAAATAATTTGCCTTCTGGGTCTAATTGCAGCTGAGATGAATCACTTCCACAGTAACCGGATTTATGACTACAACAGTGTCATTCGTCTGTATCTGGAGCAGCAGGCACAGTTTTATGAAACGGTAAGGTGTAGTATGGCTGTGCCATTTTCCTGGCACATACTGGGCTGATAGTCTTATAGGAAATACTTGCAGTACTTAATCATCTTTTTGCATGAGCCTCTCCCAGAGAGCAGAGATTTGAAGAATTGTACATGTAAAAAAATAAAAAAGCCCAAAGAATGAGTAAAAAATATATTTTTTCTATAGATACTATCCTGTGTACATGACTGTCATATTAGACCAATTAGACCTAAAAAACACTGTTGAGAAACATTGTTGACAGCTTGATTTTCTTTTTTTCCAATGCCAGCACTAAGGTTACAAAGCATTTTAGTTCTGTGATATGCAGTAAGACAGCCTTGCTCCACTGAGTACAACAGTAAACCACGCGAATGAAACTTCCCTCTCATGGGATGGGAGGACGAAGGGAAGCTTCTGTGATTTAAAGCCTGATGTATGCAAGCGTGAGGCAGGGGGGACTGGAGTGGTTCAGGAGGCTTATTAAATACGTTAACTCTGAGCACTTGACCTACAACCTTAGTTCTCATTTAACTTTATTCTTATGCCTGTTTTCCTTGTGGTTTGTTAAATGAAACCCAAGAACAAATTATCTGATGTGATACGCTGGTAAAACCTGTGAGCTTGGGTGTGCTGGAAGCTGGCTTCTGTCACTTAAAGGAGTCCTATAAGCAACTGGTTGCCCTTCACAGCAGTAAAAGGTGCCAGTGGCACTTCAGGTATCTTTAGTGGATGAGAACTTCAGGTCACCTTGCTCGGTTTCTGTGCCCCATTTGATGGGGTCAGGCATCAAATTCCCTTCCCTCCGTCTCTTCTCCAGTCTATCCCAGTTCTTCTGACAGCCTCACCAGTCTCCGTGTATGACCCCCCTCTGCCCAGGAGAGAGACCAGATCCATGCTCGGATGCGGGCTGCTGGCTGCCGTGAGAGCTGTGGGGAGAGGACAGGAGCTCTTTTCTGATGTGTGGCCTTGTTTCAGCAGGGAAATGGATTTCATGAAAAATCTGGCTTTGTTCCTGTAGCCCTCCTGCATAGTGCAGTGCTAGATAACCTAACGGGCAGGGTGACGGCCCTGCCTACAAGTACATTTTCCAACACAACCTGAGCGGTGAAAGCACAAAATGAACAAGCCAGAAAGAGTCTGTATGAGAAGAAAAGTCTTTATAATGGAATGCTTTGAGAGTGCTACGTACACAAAATCTTCAGTAAAACCTGCAGTTTTTCAGGAAACAAGGGAACAATTCATTTAGTTTCTTAGCCTGCAATTGTATTTCTGCATAAAGTGACTCACATGTTAAATATGTTGTTTCTTTGTTTCAGATTGCACAGAAGCTGAGGCAGGCACTCAGCCGCTTTCCTGTCATGTAGAGAATAAAGAATAGTCAACAATAAAGAACAACTCCGAAGTGCTTTTCTGATTTTGGGGCAATGCTAATAAAAACTTGTTAGCCTTTGCCAGCCAAAAACAAACCCACCAAAAAAACCCCAACAACAACAAAAATCAGTTGTAGAAACAAAGAATTATTTAAAATTTTACTTTATCAGCCTAAATCATAAGGTTCTCTTACCTCGAGTGCTCTCCCGTTTGTATCATTATTTAAATAAAACCAGCTAGATAATGCTGTCAGTTATAGGGAACTAAATTAGCAAACTGAGATGTTGCCACGGACTTCATGCAGACTTGCGTCTATCAGATGTTCTTCCAAAAACTCTTAATCAACACCAGAGCTACAAGTTTAGATCTTTATTTTTCAAGTGGGAAAGCAGACAAGCTTGAGAAAGTGACTTTAATACTCATGATATTCAATTCAGCTCTCCAGCGATTCAGTAGCCAGGAGGAATTTGTGTATGTTTCTGGTATGTGTTCACGGGGATCTCCTGAATGAACACTGTTCTGTTTTGCTTCCCATATGCGGCCATGGCATCCTGCTCCCATTTTGACTTCTGGGCAATATCACTCCTGCTTCTCTTTCTCTTTTTTTCCTTCTCACTAAATCCTGTACTTGTGGCACAACACCTCAGAGCTTATGTCAGGCTCGCTCTTTCGCGCTGTGCACTGTGTAAGAAGACAAAGTACAAACAAGGAAGGAGCCATTCGGGAAGGTGTGAAAAACCTTTTCCATACCAGCACTTTGACGCCGGCCGATGTTACGCCATAAGGCACTGGTGTTCCTGGGTGCTGTACTGGGCCAGCTGCCCTTTTACCCCTCAGAGAGCTCGAAGGGTTTCCTCAGAGGGGACACTGCCACATCTACCCCATACTAGTAAAAGTTGCCAAATTCCAGCTAAGTTCAGGTCTTCATATAGTAGTATGGTATGCTGTTGGCTTGGGTTAACTTTTTGTTACCTTCTACTAATGCAAACTAAAAGGTGACAAAAGTACTGAAGAACGTTGTGAGTTTATCACACAAGCTCTGTGCTTTGATCGTCATCTCTTAGCAAGCGGCCCAGGGTCCTCTTCCGTACTACTGAAATGTCGTTTGAGGCCCAGGCTTTTCAAAACAAAAAAGCCACCACGGACCCCGTTCACAACGAGCACCAGCTACCAATAATTCATGTCATGCCATAAGCAAGCGGGAAAGCCAAAAGGCAGGTTTTTGCTAAAATGTGCCTAGAAAATGAACATTTTAGCAGAAAAATAAAAATTGTAAAAAAGGCATTTTACCAAGAAGCCATTCTAAGGGATGGGTACAGTCTGCTGGTTGAATAGTGGCCTTACTCTGTTCTGCATTGTTGTTACTTTTGTGTGCTAGAAGGAAAATCTGGGTCTGCCTGAATAACCTGAAACCAAACCAAACCAGACTAAGCCTAAGTCTCGATGCTTTTCACTGTCACAGGTTTTGTTCACCTTTTATAAACCTTGTCTTTTTCTCCTCCCAATTTTAGTTGTTCGCTTCCACAATTCCATAGCGCAGTGTTGTTTGATACAGCCATTTAAATATGTACAAATTGTAAAGAATATGTATAAATGTTTTACACCAAATGTAAGATCTGCTTGCATGTAGAAGCAGCTTATATAATAAATTGTTACAATGTGTACAGTAAATTCTGAAATCACTTTTTCAAGCCAGCATTTTTTTAGCATTTGTATATTCACTTTTTGGTAATGAAATCTCTTTGTAACAGACTCATAAGTTGGGAGGGGGAAGGGGGGTGTCTTTTTACCAATCTTTAAATAGCTCTGTATGCACTAAAGTTGAAGGTTCTTTATCCTGAATAGATTGTTTTGGAATCTGAAGTGTAAGCTGTGCGTTCCCAGTGCAGGGAGGCTATGACAGTAGCAACTGTGTCAGAGATGCGACGTTTGGGGGCGGGGGTTGAAAAGAAAAACTGTTTTAAAGACTTCTAGTAAAATGAAGTTAAACTGATAATAAATATTTATGTGTATCCACCAGACTATTTTTTTTTTTCCTTTGAAATCATCACATTGCTTTTTAACAGGGTGATGCACTATGAGGCAAATCTTCCTTAGAGTTTTTCATCAGCTTACACACAGCGGGCAGCTGAGGAGTGAGGAAGCGTCCATGTGTCTTCATAATGCGGGCATCACAACCGAGCGGTATAATAGTGCTAGTGACTGCAAACCAGCAAAGGCTACGCGTATGTGTAAGCTCTCATTATTCAGGTCAGTCCGGCTCGTGGTTGATGGAACCCTCCTGACTGCAAATAAGTAGTAGAGCACAGTGCCACTGTGTATTCCTGGCTTGGTGTCGGCATGGCGTTGACCCAGAATAGAAATTCGATTGTCTTTGGTATTTGGGTTTTTTTAAATTAGATGTGAATAGTGGCAGAGTTAGGTTGGGTAAGTTGGGAGCAACAGAAAAGCTGCACACTGAAGATGCAGTCATAAAACAAGAATAACAAGTTAGAGTAAGACTTGAGTAGCGCCCTCCTGAATTTTGTTTGTCACGGCTGAATAACTGATCTTTGGCGCATCGAAAAGCCTTAATACTGTTTCCTGGCTTACGCCTTTCTTCGAGGCTGAGCCAAACACTGGCATTGTCCCAGTGACTTTGTAAAGGACATCAAATGCTCTAGCTGTTGGGTTTAACTTTCTATTTTAGTTGCTTATTCCATTACTGCTAAAGTACTAAATTAATCTTTTAACAATAAAAATAAAGGAGAATGCTACCTGTGTTTCTTGTCTGCAGTTCATCCCACGTGGGATTAGACTGGAGCAGCAGGCTGGGTTCTTCTTGCAACGTATGGTACGTTTTTGGAATAGGACTGTCTACTGTAATTGGAAAGAGGTTAATTTAATGCTTTAACAAGGCCTAACTTTGCACAAGTACTGAAACTTTTACATTACTGAGCAATTTCTGTGTTCTCTGTCAAAGTAATTGAGAAAGTATTGCCATAACATACACCTCTGTAAATTCTGATTAAATAATAGTCATCCATTTTACTGCTACCGAACTTAGTCTTGTTTAGTGCAGCAGAGTAATTCGGACTAACAGCCTCGTAGAGAAAGAGCTGCCTCTCTTGTGCGGTGGTTTGGTTTGCCGTACACCAGACACCCTGCCGCTCTGGCTGGGCCAAGAGTACTGTCCAGCCTGGTGGCGTGCAGCCGCCCGCAGCCAGCACAGCACTGGCTAAAAGCACCGGCCAGGGCAGGCGTCCTGCTGCTGCTGCCACCTCTGCCTTTCTCCATGCTTCACCCTGGGACGGGCGAGCGTGCACCAGGGGAAGGTGAGTTGTCTGGGGGTCTTCAGTCGGGTGTTTTTTCCACTCTATCTATTTTCTATATTTTTCTATAACTCAGCTGATAAAATGATGATATAACAACAAACAAGTACAGAGCAGGAGAGGTAACCACTTGGGCAGAAGAAAACCTTTTTTTTTTTTTTCTGTCTAAGGAATCCCTGACAAAAACAACCTCGTAGAATTAGAAACAAACAGACTGGCTGGAGACCAACCCACCCATCCTGGCGGGTGGCAATATCAGTCATATCTGTACTGACATCTGAGTCACAATGACACATTTTCTTGGGATCTTGGAGATTCTACAACATGCCAGCATAGTTCTTTCCAATAAATCGGCAGCATCTCTCTTAAAAAGCTTTCCCTTATGTACATCATCGCTTCTGTAAGTTGCGTGTATATAAACTGCTACCACTAAGCTTGAGTTTTCATTAACTAGAACAGTTAAACCAACATAGCTAATAATTTTTACATACTTGAAGTCTTCCTCATGTTAAAGTGTATCACCTTTCTTCCCCAGGTGCGTAAAATTAATCTGTTTGCTTGCTCATGCCAGACCCATTCGTTCTTGCCCTGCCGACAGATGTCACGCTGCCGACCAAACCATCGCTTTCTGCTACGAACACCCACGTTGCCCTGCTGTGGTTCTGCCATACAGCGGTCAGATCCTATAGGTACAGCTCTGGGCATCTATCCCAAATGAAATATAATTCCCAAGCACATTTTCAATTTATAATACTTGGTTCCATCTGTATCTGCAACCCAGACCTAGTTGAGGTCAGGCAGGGTTTTTTGCTTTTGATAAACTTAGGTTATATTCCAATTATTTAATAGACTTTTAGTGTAAGTTTTCAACTCATTTTATGCCTACTCGGTAGGCACTGTATTTACAATACATTTTCTTAAATTTCTTGAGGTTTGCATATGAGAAATTTGTCAAAATTATTTCTAAAACCCTTCTGTTTGCATCTTTATATCCCCTGTTTTTAATTAGGCTAGTCTTCCAGTCAAAGGAGGATATTTGACTATTGACACAGATTCTGCTCAACAAACTCGGGTTAGCTGGTTTTTGCCTCCTCTCCCCCGCTGCTCTTTGCGCACCAGTCATGACTTTGGGATCTTCGCCATATCTTTGCTGACACAAGTCAGTATCTTCGGGACACTGAATTTAAACTGACATCAGTTTATTTTATTATTCCGTGGTTTACAAATGCAAAAAATGTGTTTGCCTATTTTTAATCTTCTTGGCCTTTAAATCTTTCCTAATTCGTCATGCTTGCTTAAACTCTCATACATTTTTTTTGCCTTCCTTCAGATTCGAGCTAGTAGGGCTTACCGCCTGAACTTTCCGAACTCTAGGTTCTTGTCATCTACAGAGTTAAAAAGTATTTGCTTCATCACAGAAGTGATTAGTTTCTTTGAACTGGTCCTATCAATCTGAAGTCAGCTTTCTCATGTTTATTAAATGCTGTTCTTCCCCTGTTCTGGCCTGTGGTTGTATTCTCCTGTTAAAATACATTTTTGTAAGTCACAACTTTTTTCTTTTTGTCAGGGCTGAAGCAAGAAGGTGTGTCATACTTAGTATTTTCTGTTAACAGCAGACTTTTGCTACCCTTAGTTTTCCTGTTATATCTAGCATCGTTAAAGACTATTCACTTTTAAAAATTATTTGCT